TTTATTTTTTAATGAAGATCCTGGGGATTGAACCTAGGGCCTCGTGCATGCTAAGGATGTGCTCTATCACTGAGCCATACCTTCACCCCCTCAGTGTGACTTTGGGCAAGGCACTTAACCTCTCTGTTTCTCATCTTTCTCTTTACAAGAGGGAAATAATAGTACCCATTGCATAGCATTATTGTGAGGATCAAATGACTGTATGTATGTGTGCTGCACACTCCGTATGTAAATATTAGAGCAGTACATGGCAGATATTGAATACTATACAAATTCATATTGCTACTATTGTCAGGTTTTTCGTAACAGCCTATGGCAGGTTATCAGTTTAAAGACATTTCCCTTTTATTACGGCTTTCTAGGAGTTTTTATTCATAAATAGATGTTAGAATTATATGGAATAATGTTTCTACATCTTTGAGATGATCATGTTTTTCTTGTTATCTGTTAAATATGGTGAATGATAATGAGTGTATCTTCCAAAGTTACTCTATCCTTGGATCATCCCAGGATGAACTGTACTGTTCACAAGTTTTTAAATATATTCAAAGATTCAGTATCTAAATAATTATTTAGAATTTTTGCCACATATGTTCCTAAGTGATGTCTTGTATGCAGTTTTCCTTTTGCCTACCGTTGTTGCCAGTTAGAGCAACCCTGCAATTTGAGTTGGGAGTTTCCTTCTATTTCTCTTTTTTGGGACAAACTATAATATTTGGATTGTCTATTCTTTGAGAATTTATAAAGCTAACCTATAAGGCAGTGTAGACCTGAAGCTTTTCAAACTAATCAGTCAATTCAGTTAATTTACTGGTTTTAGTCTCTCAGGTTGCCTATTTCTTGAGTCAGAATTGGTGCATTATCCCCTCTGCTTCCTTCCCTCCTTCCTTCCTTCCCTCCTTCCTTCCTTCTTTCCTTCCTTCCTCTGTCTTTGTAGGTGTCCCTTAAAACTAACAGGTTTACTTTAACTTGACTTGTAAAAATCTGACATTTATCAATATTTCTATCTGCTTCTTGAACATAAGGACCTTAGAATGTTTACATTCCAAACCTCTACCTTATATGTAATTGTTGACTCGTGTTTTGATTTGCCTTGCTTTGACACCTCCTCCAAAGTATATTATTTAAAACATGTTTTATACAGTAGTAGTTCTTTAGATTTGCCTGTATTTACTACTATTTCTTTTGGGATTCTATTCTTCCCTTCTGGGTAATTTTTTTCGTTCCTGAAGTATGTCTTTAGTAGTTCAGGATTTCATCATGTAAACCAGGTCCATGTGTGGTTGGGGCGCCTCAGGTGTAATGCCTTAGGTATAGCTCCTCAAGGGTGGCTTCTCTAAATCTGAAATGGATGAATTAGACAAGTTTTCTGTCTCCCCTCCCTTAACATATAATGGTACGACAGGCTTGAGAGAATCACTGTATACAATGCTCTGGAAACAATGTGGAAATGGTAGCCCCATGGGAGTCATTGGTCCAAAGAATTTTGGAAATCCATCAGGGCATAGGCTATTGGTTCTTGATTAGAGCTCAAGACCTAGAACAAGACTCTTCATGGCTCTTGGCTTCCCCTCTGGACTCTTGGTTCCATCCTCTGAGCCATCCTTCCTTTTTGGTGAAAGGTAGCCCACGTTTGCAGGTGTAGTTTTTCTCAGCCTACTTCCTGCTCATGAAAGTGTGGGGGTCCAGAGTCATCTTTTCCTTTTATATTGCCTCTGAACCCCTTCAGTTCAAGCTGGCAGTGTTTCTGCTGACTTACTTCACTTAGAATGATGCTCTCCAGGTCCAT